GCATGGATTGAATAAAAACTTCTTTGTTTTACTCTTTGAGTAATTCTTTAAAATAGTGTGATGCTATTTTAACCAAATTTCCTAATGAAATATCTCTAAAGTTGGCTACTTTTGAGTGCATGTTAGGAGTCTAATTTTATACATTAGTAGTGATTATTAATGTGTAAAAGAAGATAAAAGCCCCAAGTTAAGATAAGAGTGTGTCATATCTCTTAGCACCAACTTGGTTTATCCCTTCATTTTATTTCTGCCCATTTCATTCCTCACCATTTCTTCTTCTTAAACTTATTCTTTTCTCTCATTAAAAACACCAAAAAGAACTCTTTCCCACACTCCATATTTCACCCCCTCAATTCCATCATCCATTTCCTTCCGCAAATCCGCCATAAAATAGCTACTCGATAAGACCCCGGGTCTCGGGTACAACAAATTGGTTTGGGAAATATTGTGGATAATTTAGTTTCCTTCTATAATCGCCCTACTCCTGTATATATTCTCTTGTGTTCTACGTATGTAATTGAGCATCTTCAATTTATTGAGATATCAATTAACAACATAAATAAATAAATAAATAAATAAATAAATATTGAAAATATTAACCTTACTTATATCTCTGTAGTGAACCAGAACAATATGGTCATATGCCCTGTTAAAATATCAAATTAGACACTTTATCAGAAAACCAAAAAAGGCAGCCAACAATATCCTTTTTGAAACAACACACATAAACAGCAGAACATTAGACAGACAAAAAAGAATGGAACTCACGGATCCAGCATCCAATAGGAGCGCCTTTGAAAATTAGGATTCTGCTCTCCATGTGCATAATAACAGTTTAGAACTTCAGCATTTCCAACCTAGTCACAGACAAACTATCAAATACAAATCCTACACTGAACAACATTATATAGAAAAGACTTTACAAAAACTGTAAAACAATGCTTTGTCGTATGGCTCATGAGTACCAGGATATGATAATTTACAACGGATGGCACCAATACTAGTTATACATAATTATAAAGTAAATACTGCTCCCTCCATCCCACAATGGATACCACTCTCGAACAAGGTGCAAAATTCCATCACTTTTAGAATCATTTTAATTATAAATTGGTATAGAAATATTCTTGGCCGGATGAGAAACAAAAAGTATGCCAAGGATGAGATTTACATCGTTCTACAAAACAAGAGGTGACAACTGACAAGAATATTTCATTTCATCAAATGATCAATGAAAATATGCAAACAAACAAAAGTTATCAAGATGCTGTAATAGGATCAGGGGCATCCATTTTGGGAGGGAGGGAGTATTTGAGTATATAAGAAAAGTGGAGCCCCAATAATGTGTCACCTTGAGCCTTTCATGTGCTTCCCCCACAGTTCTTCCGTCTCTCTTTCTTCTCCAACTATGACCATCTTTACGGAAAAAACGTAAGATTCTCTTGTTGAAAAGAAATAAAGATCCACCTATTAAATAGAAATTAGTTGATGAGATGGAAGTAAAGTGAACTGAAACGAACATCAACAATGCAAGGTATGGACTACAGGATATTGGATTAAATTTGCACAAATTGAAAAGAAAAACTTATGGATGTACTTCCAGGTTTTTGAGGGGGCTCATGGGCAATCTGGTCATTCTTGTAATTCTGCAATATGAAGAGAACTTCAGCAGGTTTCAACCATCGACCTTGAGCTTCTTGTATCAATTTATTAAAATTAAATCCTGCAATTTGAAATGAATTTTATTGCAAAACCATATCCACCCTTTTAAGAAAAGTAGCTGTTTCAGAAAACTATGATGGGAAAACACAATTTTTAAAGTACATTATCATAAAGAAAATATCGGTACACAATGAAAGACTCTGTTTTAGTGCAAAAGTTGACTAGATGCTTACATTTCGTGAGATATATACCAATGATGGCCAAATAGAATCAGTGAATAAAATTGAAATGTCTTTTATTAAATAAATTCACATATTGCTTTTGAAAAAACACATATTGCATGAAGAGACTGCTTGGGTCCATAAAGTAGACTTCTTGAGCTTACACCTTGTTGGTAGCTAAGTTTCTTTTAAACATTGGAGGAACGTCCATATACACCTCTTCCTCAAGTCATCTTTCAAAATGCATGTCTAGCTGTTGTAGACGCCCATATAGATGGCTGCCAGAGATATGACGATCATTATGGTGATGATTTTATCTAGCAGCCGAGCCAAAGTTCCAAACAAACCCAAATATATTTCAGTTGGAAGTAGGACAGGATCCTTGCAGAGGGAGGGCAAGATGTACGCAGACCTTACCTTTATCACTTTTTTCTTAAATGGAATGACTAATGAGGCATGTTTTTTTGGGACAGCTAAAAAAGAAAACAACATTTTTAGGGACATAGGAATAACTTTATGACCCACACCAACCCTCGTCTGCCCACAATATTTTGGAACTCCACTGGAATCTCATCCGGCCACATGGCTCTCATCCCTATCATCCTGCGAATGGCCCTCGCCACCGCCTCTTGGCTAATGCACAGAGTGTAACCAAAATTCTGATGCCTTTCAAACTGTTCCAACTCACCTTGTACCGAGCTCCCAGCTCCTCCAACATTTTTAAGCCCATGAAAATAGGCCAGATGTTCAAGATGCTATACAATCTCCTCACGTGCCTTACCTAGCCTATACAATCTCCTCTCGCCTCCGCGCTCTTTCAAGTCCTTATCCAGATGTTCAAGAGCTACATTCTTAGTCCTCGTAAATTCCAGCTTAGCTTTTTTAGAAAACGATAAACTAAATTAAAATGAAACATTAAACTTCTCTTGGTTCTTACTTTCTATGAGGTTTTGTGTTGTAAATTTAGTAATTAACCAAGGGTCTAACCAAATAGTTTGTGGGTTAGGGGTAAGTTTGTGTACACCTTGACCCCTAGACCCCAACAGAGATGGGATAATACTAGATTTGATGTTAGCATCCCTTCCTTCCATCATCCGAACCACCAGGGAGTGGGGTGCAAAGGCACACAGCGATCCTCTGGAACCATAATGCAAAGAATATCAATCCGGTGCATAGACATTATGCCTCTTCGTGTCAATGGAGCGTGATCCTCCATTTCTCCCTACAAGTCATGAGAATCTGTGCTGCTAATGGACTCTCCAAACTTATCATTGAGACAGACAATGCAAAACTCCATCAAAGCTTTTCAAACAGAGGAAAGGTGCACCTGCGGTTAAAGATGTCGGTCCAAGAGATCCTTCTCCTTTTCCATATCTATACCTGGAAATCATAGTTTACCCCGAGAACTACCGCTCGTGCTGCCCAACATCTGGCTCACATGGGACTACTAACCATCAATATCTCTCTTTCTCCGCCTAGCGAACATGTTTCCATGTCTTTAAGAGGAAATTTGAAATTCGATGCAATTACACATCCTTAAATATTTCTCTCTTAGGGGCGCAGCGGCAGCCTAGTCCTCCCCATGTACCTTTTTTATGTTGCAGTAGGATTTCTACTTATTCCAAGAAAAAAATTGAATGAACTCTTCACTTTATTAGTTAGTCTTTAATTACCTAACGGGCCCTTTTGTCTACCACCAAACTTCAAATTCATGGTGTGGGAATCTTATATGGCTCTATAGATATTATATCGAGAGAATGTTAACACAAATACATGATCATTTGATACCCATAAGTGTTTACCTCAAATCTAAACACAGGACCAATTCAATAATTCACCAGCTATTAGGGTCTATGCCAGATCTTTAATTAAAAACAAAATAACCTTTAAAAAAAAAAGAAAAAAGAAGCACCCAACCATAAATGATTGTCTAAGCGAAACTGTAGAAGCAGAGCCATACCTGCCTCCGTCATGATTCAAAACTCAGCCCTAGTTGCAGCGAAGTTCATTCGAACTGAGGCCGGAAAACCCCTGCTCCCAAGCAGCGATGAAGAAATGGAACCGTGCTTCAGACAATATAATTTGCAGCTTATAGTATTGTCAAGGTCTTTCAATGACGTTTCTATTGAGTTTCAATATCATCATAAATTATTAAGAAGGATTCGCGGGCCTGCTTGACAGTAGACACAACTTGTTTGTGCTTAGTGGATCCATATTTCTTTAAGCCAATGATTTTACGGCCCCCCTTCTCTTGTGACTCGGCAAGGTGCCCACACTTGTGTCACTGGACCCTAGATTTTCCGTTCTTTTGGACTTGAACTCTTAACTTCCAGCTTTTTCTAGTTCCTTCTAGTTCTTTCCAGTTTCTTCCAGTTCTTCCAGTTTTTTCTAGTTTCTTCCAGTTACTTCTAGTTGCTTCCAGTTTCTTCCAGTTTTTCTTGTTTTTTCCAGTTTCTTCTAATTTCTTCCAACTATATTTATTTTTTTCAAATTCTTTCTACTTTCTGACAAATCACTCTAAAAAATATATTATTATTATTCTTACAATTTTTTAATTACAACTTTTATGTTGACAACTATAGTTTATAAATTATTTCATTTTGTCATCTCACTATTTTTATGATTCATATTCATTATTTTTTTCTCCAACTTTTTAATATGAATAATACCATCAATATTTTAATCTAAAATATAGTACCTTCAATTAATTTAACTACATTGTAGAATATTAAGTACTAGTTCATCTCTAATTATTTTTTTAAACTATCTTTTTATGTATGAAAATAATATTCGTAATGTTTTTTTTATTTTAAAGACAATCATTTAGATAACGTAATAACACCACCACTACCACCACCACCACCACCACTAACAACAATAACAACAACAACAACAATAATAATAATAATAATAATTATTATTATTATTATTATTATTATTATAGCAATAATAATAATTTATATCAACAAGAATCAGAATGATAATAATTTAAAACCACACATAAAAAAATTTTAAAAACTTTTTTTAGATTTTACAATTTATTCTAGTTTTTTTTAGTTTCTTTTAATTTTTTCCAGTTTTTTCCAGTTCCTTCCAGATTTTTCCAGTTTCTTCCAGTTTTTTCAGTTTCTTCCAGTTTCCAGCTCTTTTTTTCTAGTCCTAAAGAACAGGCCCTTAATCTTGGTTGGATGTGAACAAAATTAATGATATAGTCTTAATTCCTATCTTCATCAATTGGATATCTAGTTTTGGATTTAAATTTTTAATTTCAAAATCAACTATACTTGAAGAAGTTTAATTGATGGGAGTTGGGCGGGTTTTGGTGGGTCTGAGGTGGATGTTTACTAGGAGGGTAGGGGCTATCCATTTTGCGAATGGCATAACGAAAGTTTCTCCAGAAAACCAGTGACATTGGAGAGGCACCGTGGCCATTGGCAAGGGAACCGAGCGGATGATTTTAACCTCGAGTGAAGGTTTTTTGGAGTTTTGTGGTGTTGAATCAAGTTTTATTGAGTTCTCATGTGATTTGATATTATCTAATTCTAATACACAATAATAAATAATAAGAATGAGTTTAATAGAATATGCGAACAACCTGTTATTTAGAGTTGTAAAATTTAACTTTCAGTTTCTTCCTACCGCTTCCACTATTTTTTTAACTTCTTCCAGTTTTTTCTAACTATTTTCACTTTCTTCCATTTTCTTCTAGTTTTTTTCAATCCTCTTGGTTTCTTCCTACTTATAGTTTATCCAAAAATTACTTTAAAAACTATTTATGTGTATTTGTCATATTATTCTTATTATAATTGCAATTTTATAATAATAATAATAATAATAATTGTTGTTGTTGTTGTTGATGATGGTGGTGTTGTTGTTATTGTTGTTGTCGTTATCATAATTAATGTATACTCAGTATAAAATAATACGGAGTACTTCGTAATTAAAAAAAAGTAATGTCATAATTTATACACAAAACTTTTTCTACTTCCACAAAATAATTTTAATGAGCAATACATAGCGTAAAATAAAAAAAATGATAAATTTTAAAATTTTATTTAGAAATTACACTTCAATTTATATACGGAATATTTATTACTCGTATAAAATGAAAATTTTTAAATTAGGAATGTTACATTCGTTTGTTTCTAAAGTAGATCGAATAAAATAAAGTATTACGGAACGGAGTATTAGTGGTATGAGTAAGTGTACAAAAATGATAGTGACACAGCTACTGTTGTAAGGGTGTGACTAAAACCCCACCTATATAATACTCCGTATAATTTGAGGGGAGGGAGTTGGGGGTGAGCAGGGAAATAATCTGGGGAAGAGACTCAATGATCGTGGAACAGCAACAGGAGAGCTCGGAGGTCAAATTGGGTTTCACCTACTAGAGAGGTTTGTGGCTCAATCCAGTTTTAAATTACTTTTATAATTTTCCTGCAATCGAAATGGTTGTTGGTGATAGGATGTGTGTGGGGAAACCACTGAGGTTGTAAGGACGCCGGAGACGCCGTCTGAGCACGTCCGGAAAAGGGACTGTAGTGTATCTGGTCCGAGTGCGTCTTTTAGTGGGTTAGGTCTCGTAGGGTTGGTCTGGACGGGGCTGGTTGCCAGGGATGGGAGGAGATTGGGTCTGGTAGGGGCTGGGTTGTTTGGTCGTGTGGCTAGGTTGCAGACCTGTGGTTCTGGGTTGGGTTGCAAGGGGGTGCTGGGCTGGGCTGGGCGAACATATCTGACTAGGCTGCTACGGGTTGCTCTTTACCTTTTTGCAATAAGAAGAAAGTGAAGTTCAGGATAGGTCACCCATGTTAGGCCAGACCATAACAATGGAATATGCAAAATTCATTGCATCATGTGAATGTGAAAAGGCTATCTATCCTTGTATATATTGCATATGTGAATGTTAAAAGTAAGGCTATGTATCCTTGTATCTATTGCATATGTGAATGTTAAAAGTAAGGCTATGTATCCTCTTATATATTTATTACATATGTCAATGCTAAGAGTACGTCTATGTATCCTTGTATCTATTGCATATGTGAATGTTAAAAGTAAGGCTATGTATCCTGTTATATATTACATATGTCAATGCTAAGAGTGCGTCTATGTATCCCCTTGAATATTGCATATGTGAATTGTTAAAAGTAAGGCTATGTATTCTAATCTACATATCTTGGGTGAATGTGTGTTTTACGGTTATATGCACTGTAAGTCTGTAACCATTGTTTTGTAAATCTTTTAAGAATTTATTTTGAAAACATGCATCTTAAAGTACATTTAGCTGTAATTTCCATTGCTTCACAAAAACGTAGATCTAATGGAGGCTCTTGAGGAAGTCCTTAACGGCTTAATGAAGTTGTTTTTGTAGAACTAATTTCTAGAGGATTCTTTTAAAAATTCTTTACACAGGGGACCATTTGGAACTTAAAGATCCCAAGGAAAAAATGTTGATATTTTTTAAGGGCAAGCTGTTTAGAGGCAATCATTCGTGTAACCTGAGCCGCTAAACTATTTCAAACCAAGCTATTTCTGATGAAGTTATTGAAGCAATTCAAGTTGTTAGGTCTCTTTTAAAACCAGGGCCTTTGGAAAATTTTCTCTTAAACAGGGCTGTTTGTAAATCCCATAAAAATGGGCATTTTATGTTAAGTCATTTTAAAATGTACTGAAAAAAATCTAATGTTTGATGCATCTTAAAGACACAAAATAATGGCTTTTTCTAAATTTTTCTTGATAATGTGTTGGATTTTGGTATACCATGGGTATTTAGTACCGAGATAAAGCTAAATAAAATCATATGCACAACTAATTTGCAAATACGTTGTGGTGGTACTTTCCTGGAAGGTAGCTTCAATCTTAAAAAGAACTTTGCGTCACAAGGATTGACATTCATAAACTCAGTTTTTTATTTTATTTTGTTCTCATGGTCTCACTTCTCACAGTTGGAATTGAACTAGGATAGTCAAAGTAGGTCCTACTTGTTATATATTTTGAAAACTTTTGATATATTATGCATTCCCAAATTTTTAGAGCATTTTATAACTTGAGACGACGAGGGTTATCTCAAGACGACGAGAGGCGTCTCAAGACAACAAGGTGCGTCTAATGAAGACTAGGGGTGGGCAAAAATATAGATATGTAATGGTACCCAAACGGACCAAAATGGTACTGAACCGAAATAGAATGCTTTAAATAGCTTTATTATATTTTTGTTCCGGACCGGGATCGAACCATTTAGAGTGGATCCATGATAGGTCTTGAATTTGTAAAACTGAAAAAATACCCAACCGTTTAAATAGTGTTGAATATAATTTAATAGAAATTAAATGATACAAAATTTAGTCCTACTTTAGCCGAATTAACTTGGAGGCCTTAGTGTACTGACTTCTTTAATGTTGTGAGTGGCCCAACCGCCCAAATAAATTAGGTTAATTAGGTCCTAAAATAGATTTTTACTTTTTTCACTTTTAATTGCTCCGGCTCGATCCAAACCTCCATTAATGCCTTAATGGTAGCATCGCACACCGCAGTTCGACGGTTCCTGTTTTAGAGCTTCCATGTCTCTCCTTTCTCACTTAGCTTATCCTTTCTCGTTTGTCCCATCTCTTTTGTAGAGTGTGATTCTACTTGTGCATCTATGGATTTTTCATTTATGTGTTTTTAATTATGTCTAAAAAAATTCATTAAGCTTATGTGTTTTTTTTTTAAATTTTTGGATGTGTTTGTTGGGTATCTGTTTACCTTAAAGTAATTCAATTTTATTTTATTTATTGTGTTTGAGTTATAGTTTCAATTTCAATTTACAGCTTGCTGTCTTTTGTATATTGTGTTCATTTAGTTTACAACCTATATTTTTTTCTGGCAATTCAACCATGGTCTAACTGTCTGCAGATATAATCCAAATATGCTTCAGTTTTTACTTGAGGTGACTTTGCACTTACTGTAATGTGTTTTTGTTAGTTAATGTGCTTTGTAAGTTAATGTCTCACGACGACGAGGTGCTTATCACGACGTCTAGGGGTGTCTTATGACGAGTTTTTTTTAAAACAGAAAAATCCAAACTTTTAAATTCTTGATTAATTTTGGTAGGGTTGCAGCAGTTTGAATACGGTTCATAATGATGGCTCCTTCCAGGTATATGATTTTTTTGTTAATTCCTATTTTTGTAAGTATTCTACAAGATTATATATCTAATTTACCTATATTTTGCAGCATTTGCTTAGAATTTGTACTTATTATACCATTGGCGATCTATGATGGTGTAGAACCCGATTTGTGGTTACTTGATTCTGAGGAAATGATGGAACTTAAAGTGCACGGTATATTTGAAAGTAGAAGTTTTCATAGTTGTCCTTATCGCAATTACAAACAATCCGCCTTGACGACTTTAGAAAGAGAGAATGTATCATTTCCTAATGTCCCAATACGAGTTTAGTTATATATAGATTGAGTCATAATACTTGTTTCAAAAATATTAGATCAAAGAGCTTAAAAGAGAAGCTGAAAATGTTTGGAGACCTTTGATAAAAAGTTAGGTGAACGTTCAAATGACAAAAACTCAAAAGAAGAAAATAAAGAATCATTGGTTCAATTTTATCAGGCATGAGATTGTAGTGCATTGAAAGAACTTTCCTTAGGCTCTAAAGAGATATGTTCAATTGGGTACACAGTTGTATGAAATGTTCCAATGCGACAGAATTTTAAGAGAACTTGGTTAGTATGATTCTTTCCTTCTTTTCTTTCTTTTCCTTCTATGTTTGCCTCCATCAAATAAAAATTTAATAGATACTGTTTTGATCTTGTAGATTTGAAGGCTCGAAGTGTAGATGGTTGTGTGAACTCAACGGAGTTTCGCTGTCGGATCAGTGTTCCAGCAAAGGCAGTGATCTATTTTTTTGAGCATTTTTTCCAAAGGACAGGCCTTAATGGAATCATAAAATACAAGAGAAGCAGCACTATAGTTTCGGAAGCTTCGGAGTGGTTGATGCACGAAATTATACTTTGTTTAGAGGTAAGGAAGTTACCAGCCATCCCGGAGTTCAGGAAAGGTGTGGTGCCTATGATACTATCGAATGAGTTTCAAAGATTTAGGGGGATGGTTTTCCTGAAGAGTCGGAGGATAGTGTTTGTGTATACTTCGGAGATGCCTTCAAGGGATTAAAGTTATGGAGGAAAAGGAAGATGGAAGATGTCTTGACCCTTGATGATTAAACAGCACTGGATGGCAAGAAGAAGTAAAAAAAGGAGGAGGATGTCATTGACTTTGATGATCAGGCAGCACCGGATGACAAGAGAGAGAAGGGGAAGATTGAGGATGTCTTGATGATCAATCAAACACTGGATGACAAGAAGGAGAAGATGGATAATGTCTCGGGCCTTGATTATCAAGCAGCATCATTTTCTTCTCCTTGCCATCCCGTGCTGCTTGATCATCAAGAGCCAAGACATCCTCAATCTTCCCCTTCTTTCTCTTGTCATCTGGTGCCGCCTGATCATTAAGGTTAATGACATTCTCCATCCTCCTTTATTCTTCTTCTTGCCATCCGGTGCTGCTTGATCATCAATGGTCAAGACATTCTCCATCTTCCTTTTCTTTTTAATATTCTCCATAACTTTAATCCCCTTGAAGGCATCTCTGAAGTATTCACACAGACACTCTCCTCTGGCTCCTCGGGAAAACCATCCCCCCTAAACCCTTATACTCACTTGATTCATAGGCACCACATCTTTCCCGAGTTCTGGGATGGCTGGTAAGTTCCTTACCTCTAAACAAAGTATAATCTCGTGCAGCAACCACTCCAAATCTATAGTGATGCTTCTCTTGCATTTTATGATTGGACCGATTCCATTAAGGCGTGTCCTTTCTTGAAAAAATGCTCTAAAATATGGATCAATGCCTTTGCTGGAACACCGATCCGACAGGGAAACTCCGTTGAGTTCACACAACCCTCTACACTTCGAGCCTTCAAATCTACAAGATCAAAACAGTATCTATTAAATTTTTATTTGTTAAAGGAAAATATGGATGACAAGGAGAAGAAGAAGATGGAGGTTGTATCAGCCGTTGATGATCAAGCAGCACCGGCTGTCTTAGCCCTTGATGATCTAGCAGGCAAGAAGAAAAAAAGATGGAGGATATGTTAGGCCTTGATGATCAAGCAGCACCGGCTGTCTTAGCCCTTGATGATCAAGCTTGCAAAAAGAAGAAGAAGATGGAGGATGTCTCAGGCCTTGATGATCAAGCAGCATCAGATGGCAAGAAAAAGAAAAAGAAATTGAAGGACGTTGACCCCCCAACTGTATAGTGCTTACAACAAAAAGGTGCTAACAATGTTAGTGGTAGCAGTGAATGGCTTCAGTCATGCAGCCATACGTTAATCTCAATTTTTGTTTTTCATGATTTGTAATGTTGTGAAGTCATGACAATGAACAAGCCACCAATTTAAACGAAATGAAGTTTGAGAATTGGTGTCTTAGACCAAACGATTAAACTGGCATATGATTTAATATATTCTGCTTACCAAACTACCCTAAGTAGCGCTTTTATTATTAAACGTTCTTATTTATTTATTTATGTACAGTATATTTATTTTAGTAGGTAGGTATGCTACCAAATGTGTTTGTTTTTGTGAAAATTGTATAAATTTACCCCAAAAAGTATAAATAAAAGAAAAAGGACAAGTGAACTAGTTTAAAGATAGACTTGTGTAATTCTCATAGATGAGGTGAATTTAGCCAAACGTAGGGTGAATTTAGTAAATACCCATGTATATATAATTGTGACGATTAGATCTTTTTTTCAAGACAATAACAATCCTTCGAACAATGTGCAAAAGATTCTCTCTTTTAAACTGACTTTAGTTACTCCGGTATAAATTAAAAATGAGATAAAATGTACCCTGTACTTCATACAAATTGGCATATTTAAAAATTGTTTTACCTAATGTTAATTTAAGACTATGTACATTGATGATCAGTGTCGGATCCACTTAACGTAGTTGGGGGGGGGGGCATGGCCCAACACTACTTTTTACCTTAGGCTATATTTGTTTTTGTTAGGCAACATGTGTTTTGAATCAGTCTTTGGCAAAATTCGACTAATCCTGCTTGATTGGGTTTGCAGATTAACACCTAAAGTTTCTCAACAAGCAGCGATATATATATATATATATATATATATATATATATATATATATATATATATATATATACATATATATATATATATATATATAAACATTTTTATAGTTTGATACCCCAGTCAAATACGGACTATATGATAGAGCCCAATGGAAAGTCTTAAAGTGAAATATTTAAAAAAGACAAATGTAAAAATCTAAAGAGATACATTAAAAGTATACTATATTTAAACCAAATTGTAATGTAGTCTATAAATTACGAGTATATTGTTTTGATTTTTAGATTCTTTCATTTACTATTTGATTAATGGTTTGAAATTAGTTCTTGTAATTTTTTTGTCGTTTCTCATTGCATGTAGGAGTATGAAAAAATTTCATGGAGTGTTACCCCCCGAATCCTCGTATTATTCCGACCGCTATCCCCCCTCACAACATGACAAATAAGAGGGTTCTTTAGGACTGGAAAAAAGAGTTGGATGTTGGAAAAAACTGAAAGGGACTGGAAGTAATTGGAAAAAACTAGAATAAACTAAAAGGAACTGAAAGAAACTCGAAGAAACTGAAAAAACTTCAAAAAATTGGAAAACCTAAAAAAACTTTAAAAAAATTATTTTAGTGTATTTTTATATTATTCTCATTCTAATTTTTTTTGTTATAAATAATAATAATAATAATAATAATAATAATAATAATAATAATCCTTTAATATAATAAAGGAGACTCGGATGCAGAGAAATTCGACATTTGGCATGTCTATGTGGCAAAATTTAAACATGTCAGCACGCCACGTAATATCCGAGTAAACCAGCGAAAATCCTTTAATATAATATTTTAGACTCGGATCACCAGAGCATGACATGTGGAATGCTTACGTGGAGTTTTTTTGACACGTCAATGATGACTATATGCATTAATTAAATCTAAAATCAGTCATAAAAAAGTCTTCATATATAGCAACTTTTGAATAACCATTGACCATTTTAAACTTGATATTTATACATTTGATACGTTTGCACTAATATATTTGATATTACAAAAAAAAATACTTTAAATTTTTTAAACTTATATTTCATTTATTTGATGATTTTAATCTCTTTTTACTTCTTTAATATGCTCACTATTATTGTCACATATCATATTCAAAATTATTTGTGTGACTCATATCCATTCTAATTTTTTTTATTTTTTAAAGATTAAATAACATGACAAAAGAAACAAATACAGAGTCTATGACATGTTTTAAATATTTATTGATCATTTTTAGCAAATAGTTTATTATAATCTTTACAAGTTGATATTTAAATATTTGATTAGTTTAAATCAGTATATTTTATATTACAAAAATGTTATGGACTTTTGAATTCAAAGAAAATCAAGTAAATGAATGAAAATAAAAATATAATTTTTCAATAAAAATTAAGTGAATTATTCATTATAAAAGACACTAACACTGATATAAAAGTTTTTAAGTAAAATATGAATTGTTTTAAAAATTATTAATTTATTCTTTTTTATGAGAATTTATTTTGAAAAAATATGGTTGTAATTCAACAAAAAATGTGGTTGAATATAGCTTTAATATGACTAATCTAATATAACGAAAAATAAGTTAAAAAAGAAATTGAGTAAATTTTGAAAATAGTTCTTTCTACTAATGTATTTTTCTAAATCAGTTCTTAATAAGCAATAATTACGGCCGTAGTCTTTTCTTATTTAATACGGAGTATTTTCTAAGATGGTCTTTTCTTATCACATAAGTGATTTTGACTCTAAATGGAGTTGTATAGATTTGGATACATTTTATTTTTCTATATCAATATTTGTTTAGATTCTTTAAGTTCATGGATTATTCTAACATCAATAATCGATTATAAATAGACTAAAATAATTAAAATTATAAAACACAAAAAATAGCATGACTTCAAGCAATAGAGTTTAAAAACACGTGGATAAAATAGATTCAATTAGTAAAAAAATAAAATAAATTTATTTTCCAAAAATAAAAAATCTATATTCACATTTGATATGTTTCACACAAAAAAAACTTATTTTCTTAAAAATTAAAAAAATCACATTTATTTTACAACTGAACTTTACTAGAATTGTCAAACGATTTTATTTTAAAAATGTAAAAGATGAATTATAATTGCAATTTTTTCACATAAAAATTTATAGCTAAATTCAAATGGTATGACTTAGGTATCCTTTATATATAAAAATAAGATTTAAATCTCTAGAAAGTCGACATGTTGTATATATTGTTTATGTGGCGTTTTTTGAAACTTAATATGCCACACAATTTGTGACGTAGAAAATAATAAAGTAATAGTTTGGTTTGAAATCAATGAGTAAATTTATTATGGAAAAAATATATTCATTTATATGATACTCCCTCCGTCCTATATCTTTCTTCTCGTTGCGCAAAACAAAGAAAAATCCCAAGTTTTTTCAATCTATTTTATTTAAATACTGGTATAAAAATAAAAAATAAAACATACATATTTAAAAACTACATCAAAAGTTTAACAAAACAAGTGGTGACAAGAATATATTTTATTTTATCATATAGGCCATGAAAAAACACAAATAAATATAAATTCTCGTGAAGTTGAAATAATGCTCTGGGAAGACAGTTTTAGGACGGAGGGAGTAATATTTTTTCCTAATTTATATTTTTTCTCTTCATTTGTAACAAAATTACAATATACGGAGTAATAAATTATATACTCTCTTCACCTCTTAATAAATTTCATATTTCTTTATGAGATGTTTAAATAACGTTAGTTTTGATTTTATTATTTATATATTGATGTAAAATTTTAAAATTTAAATATTTTTAAAACTATAATAAAATTTAACTGACTCTGCCTCAAAATAATTTACCTCTTTATTATTGCAGTGTCTCGATAACTTTTGTTAGTTTGCATGTTAGTTTGCATGTTTTCATTGATCATTTGCATGTAGTAGAACTTTTGACATAATATTTAAATATTTAATTTTTTTATTTTATATACCAATTTGTAAACAAAATCATCGGATCATGCTGTAATTTTAGGAGGAGTCTAACGACTCGTGGAGCTTTAATCTGAACGGTGGAGATTAAAATTTCAACGGTTTAATCTTGATTTATGAGCTTTGGATCAGCCTGCATATTTTTGCAGATCAATACAAAATCTTTGTTTGAAGGTATACTAGAATCTACAACCTTGAAGAAGATCTTTGAGAAGGTGTAACAAGCCTTGAAGATAGACACAAAAAGAGTTTGTCGTTAAATCATTCGCAGGCAGACAAATCAATACATTAGAAGGGTCTCTTGTGATTGGTTGTGTAATTCTTGCGGTGATTTAGTGGAAGGGTTGTTACACGGACGTAGGCTCCACAGACCTAGGAGGGTGTGTTTTGAGGCGTTACAGTAGCGTTTGGAGAGAATCAGATCCTTCGCACCAACTAGCGTGTCCAAACGCTACAAGACAAAGCATAGTAAGACGTTAATCAAGGAAGAGGACAAAACAATACAAGACAAACTGAGTTACTTCCTCACATGGGTGTACATTGGCGAACAATGCTCTTTCTCTCCCCTTTAACGCTATAAATACCATGTGTAATTCCCAAAGGAAAGGATCCAAATTCTCTCACTAGAAAGCTCTCGTATACTTTTTCCCTGTTCGCTTGCATACATTTAATAACAATCACACTATAGGTGTTCCACCTACAGTCCTCTCAGTCAATATTTATTTCGCGTGCCTTTAATTTATTTTACCTCAAAAGTCAGTAAGTCACTTTAGACCTTTCTAAAGTAATTTACTCAGTGTATAATTTATACCATCATAAATAAATATTTTTTTTAAATAAAAGAAATTCAAAAAGGAATTTTATGTGAGTTTGTACCTCATTTTGTACCCCTTCCATCTCCACTATACAAATGTAAGAGAAGAAAAAAGGTTTAAAAATAAAAAAGAAATGAATGGTTAAAATAAACAGTGTACAAATACGGTAAGCTACCCCTTCACCAAAGTCCAAACAAAGACCAGAGCTCGAGGCAAAGGGCAGAATTTGTTTAGCCATGGAAGCTTGTCTCGAACTCAACTTTCGTCCCCGCATCTTCACTTTCCCAAGCTCAAAACCTCAAGGCATGTTCAATTTCAACTGCATACATATTTGCGACATCTATATAGACAGCCATATGCTAATTGGCGCATAATTTCGGTTTAGCTTTCTTCGTCATGTTTTTTCCCCCCTCTTATGCTCTAAAAAAATCTTCGTTAAACAGGCAAGCGGCTGAACCAAGCTTCGCTTAATCTCGGTTTCTGTGGTTCGTCATTTACTGGGGT